CGGCCGGCCGCCGCCGCGCCGCCGGTCGGGTCCCGGAGCGAGGTTAAGCCCTTGGCCGCCTCGGGAGACGCCCACCCGCAGGGGCCCCCGCCGCCGAGGGCAGGGCTGCCTTTCCTCTCCGCGGCCTCTCCTCCTCCCCCGTTCCCTCCTCACCTCCTTTTTCTCCGGCTTTCCTTCCTTTCCCGTGTCTTTCCTGTCCTCCTCGTCCCCTTTTCTGCCTCCTACCCGTTTCTCCTCCCTGCCCCCAGCCCTCTCCCTTCACCGCTTCACTTGCGGACACACCCACTGGACACCACACAACGTGAGCACACTCCTGGCGTCCCCCTCTCGCAGGCCTGACCTCGTCCGATCCAGGTGGGTGCTGCTCTCCGCCCTCAGGCCCCCAGGTGCCCCCCAGGGGCCACTCGGCGGGTTCTTGCAAGCTCTGCTTCAGGGGGTGCTTCCCATCCCCTCCTGGCGGGACGCCTGCTCCCTCCCTCGACGGACTGCAGGGCCACCGGGCAAGACACAGGGACGCAGACGGGGATTGTTGGCTTGTCGGCTCTCGAGCTCATGGAGCTCACAGTACAGGGGTGGATGGACCGCAAAGGCGCCCTCACAAACAGGGTGGCAGGGCGTGATGGGTGAGCACGTGGGCACCCTGGGCTGCTGACCCTGCAGGCCTTCCTGCTTTCTGGGCCCAGAGTCCCCACCCGGCCGACCTCAGGCAGGTCCTTCCGGCTCTGAGGACCAGCTCCAGTGGGCTGCTTCTGCCCTGGCACGGAAGGATGCTGTGTGGCTCTTGGAGAGCATCTCCCCTCTCTGTGCTTCAGTGTATCCTGCTGTGTAGATGTGTGCTTGGGGTGTTGGATGGTGTGCATCCATGTGGAGACGTACTGGGCTGGGCTTCTGGCACCCTCAGCCACCCATGGTCCTGAGATTCGAGTGACCTGCATCTGCGCCCTGGGCCGGGGCCTGAGTCTCAGGCCTGCTGCCTGTCCTTTCAGTGCCCCAGCACTCATGGCCGAGCAGAGACCAGAGTGCTTCCTGCCCCGAGGCTCTACACTGCAGCCCCAGGGGACCCTGGAGAACAGCAAGGCCCTGGGCAGGGCGAGGTAGGGGCTCAGGACTCAGGGTCAGCTCAGGCCAGGGGCACCACAGAGAGAGTGAGGCCCACTGGGAGGCAGAACCAGCCTGGCACAAAGAGGCTGTCCTCGCCGTAAGTCCACAGCTGTCTGACCCACAGGCACTTGCCAGGCTCTGTGCTCAGCACTTCAGAAGGGCCCAGGAAAGCTAAGATGCACCCTGTGGCCCATGCTGTTCTCCAAAGATCAGCACCAGTATACTTCTCATCCCAACTGCTCTTCTTGGAATGTGACCTTGACACTCCTCCATTGGGCAGCAGGGTCTGTGTTCCTCCCCTTGAGCCTGAGCAGATGGTGAGTGCCTCAACCGAGTGTGGCGGAAATGATACTCTGTGACCTGCAAGGTTAGGGCATAAAGACCAACAGCTTTCTGCCTGGCCTGCCTCCGTCTCTGTGTGTGTGTGTGTGTGTGTCTCTCTGTCTCTCTTTTTCTCTGTCCCTTTTTCTCTGTCTTTCTATCTGTGTCTATCTGTCTCTATACATGTGTGTGTCTTTCTCTCTGTCTGTCTCTTTGTCTCTCTCAGGCCGCTCACCCTGGGAATCCAGCCGCCAGGTTGGGAGGAAGCGTGGGCCTCGTGAAGAGTCCACGTGAAGGTGTCCAGCTTGGGTCCCCACTAATCACCAGACATATGAGAGAGAGAGCCTTCAGATGACTCAGCCCCCAGCCCGGGAGCCGCCCCAGCTGACAAGTGTAGCAGAAATGAGGTGCCTCACCAACCCTGTCCAAACTGCAAAATAAATATTGTTGTTTTGAGCCACCAAGTTCTGGGCTCATTTGTTTCGTAGCAGTGGGTAACTGGAATGCATGACCAAGGTCATCCAGCTTGGAAGTGGCAGGGCCGGGACCGATCTGAACCTACACGTAGCCACCCAGTTCCAGAGCCTGTTGTGCGCAGTGTGGGGCTGCCGACTGCCCAGCTCAGGCCACAGTGGAGCCGCAGAAGGCTCTACTCAAGAACGAAGTCTGAAGTGACTAAGAATTACATATACACAACAGATTGTAGGAGGCGAAGGTGCTGGTTGCCCACCTGGAAAGCAAGTTCATCTCTCCCATTCAAGCTGCTGAATCGACCAACACACTGAAAACTTGGAGACTAACTTCTGGAAGGCTTGCAAGAAGAGGTGTTTTTTTAAAAAAATGAAAGTGAAGGTTTTTTTCATTATACAGACTTCAAGGGCATGAGAAGGTCAACATGGCTGGAACCTGTTGAGTACAGAGGGGAGAAAGAGACAAAGCTGGTGGCTAGGAGGGGCCCGAATGTGCTGTGGGCACATGCTTTCTCCTTGATGTGGTGACAGGCCACTGGAGACTACAAGCAGGAAAGTGATGCAGCCTCACTCATGTTCTACACAGATCACTTGCCAGCTGCCATCAGGAAAATATGCTGGACACACATGTCAAAATGTCACATGCCCCCTGAGCCCAGGAGTTCAACACTGCTGTGAACTGTAATCAATGGTGCCACTCTACTCTAGCCTGGACCACAGAGCGAGACTCCACTCTAAAAAAAATCTACATGTGCCATTGTTTTGTTAAGCACTGGCGAGGCAACATGCTCTTTGAACTATGACCTCTATGTTTTCTTAGCTTTGGCCTCCTCCCCTACCTTGGGAAAGTGAATCTCCTCTGTCTCTCTCTTTCTCTAATTTACTTTCTTTCTTTTTTTTTTTTTTTTGTTGAGTCAGAGTCTCACTCTGTTGCCCAGGCTGGAATGCAGTGGCACGCCCACAGCCACCGCAGCCTTTACCTGCTGGGCTCAGGCAATCCTGCCTCAGCCTTCCAAGTAGCACTGCCATGCCATGCTAACTTTATAATTTATTGTAGAGATGAGGTCTTGCTAAGTTGCCCAGGCTAGTCTCAAGCCTGTGGGTTCAGGCAGTCCCTTCACCTCGGCCTCCTAAAATGCTGGGATTGCAGGCTTGAGCCACCGTGCCCAGCCTCTAATTTACTTTCTAAATAAACTATATTTTCCAATCTAAAAAAAGAACTAGTGTACCCCAATATATGCACAAGTATTATGCAAGCATATATTAATTTTAAAAGTTAATATTTTTAATTTAAAAAGAGACACAGAGGACTGGTTGAGGGGCTGTGGAACCACTCCCTGAGAGATGGTGGCTTAAGCAGGAGTAGCAGAGAGAGCAGTAGGAGTGTCCGCTGCAGGTCTGTTCCGGGTCTTCAAGGAGTTCAACACCCTCAGCAGAAGTCTCGGATCAGAGAAAAGAAGCCAAGTCCAACACCCCGACTTCTGGCTGTGGTTGCCAAATGTACGATGCACCTTCGACAAGCAGGAAAGCCAGGCTTGGAGGCGTCAGGGGAGATGGAGACCAGGCTGGAGGGGACCGAGTTCTTCTAGTCTGTGCGCATTGTGAAACATCTGTGAGACTCGGGTGGAGGTCTCGCATGGACAGCTGACAAATCCATGTGGTGCCCACAAGGGGAGTTGCCAGCACTTGGATGCCATTCAAGTCCATGGGACTGGGGGAGGTCACTTGGGGACAGGGGCTTTGGAGAGAAGAAAAGCTGACCTGGAGCCAGAAACTTAAGAATTCCTGGCTCTAGAAAGCGGTTAGGGAGAAGCAGCCGCAAAAGACGGAGGGCGTGGCCAGGAGGCGGGAGGAAGCCAGACAAAGTGTTGTCTGGAAGCCAAGGCGGGGAGGAGGGAGGGCAGAGGCGGACGGCACCAGAGCCGGAGAAGCAGAGGAGGGTGACGGCAGACACGCGCCCTCCCACACAGGACAGGGTGGGGGCTGCCAGGGCCCGTCACAAGAGCAGGCGCGGTGGAGACAGAAGCCACCAACGGAGTGTAGGGAGAGGAGAAACGGGGCAGTGGCAGGGGCCCGTGGGGGCGGGGGGGGAAGGGGCAGGATGGTTGGAGGGGGGCCTGCCCTCACTGTCCCTCGGGACAGCGGAAGAGCTGGGTAAGTGTGGGTGCAGGGGCTGGTGAGGACGCATGGCAGCTTCTGTTCTCACTGAAGAATGCAGCCCTCAGAGTGCGGGAAAGGAGTGAGCGCAGAGCTCAGGTTCAGGGGAAGCCAGGTAGCCTGGTGGACGCGGGCTGTGCGCCTAGGCATTTGCTCTTGGATGATTCAAGCTTACTTTGCATAGCTGAAATCATACTGCACACACAATTTCATGCCCTGCTTTCTCAACAGGGTAGCAGTTCGGGCACAGTGGCTCATGCCTATAATTCCAGCACTCTGGGAGGCCAAGGTAGGAGGATCACCTGAGTCCAGAAAGTCAAGGCTGCAGTGAGTTATGCTCACACCAATGCACTCCAGCCTGGGCAACAGAGCAAGACCCTATCTCAAAGCAACGATGACAACAACAACACAAGGTGGCTGGAGCATGTCCCCATATATTTACACATTTAGGAATAATCCACTAGATGGATGTCCCATGTGTCACCTCAGCCTTCCCCCTTTTATCAGACCCTTAAATTCCTGGCGATGACTATTGCAGCTCTGAGAGCAGTGACATGAGGTCTGGGGGAGAGGAAGGGAGGAGGCGAATGACCGCGGGCATGGTGGCGCCACCTGCAGTCCAGCTATTTGGGAGGCTGAGGCAGGAGGATCACGTGAGCCCAGGAGTTCTAAGCTGTCGTGCGCTATGCTCAGTAAGTGTCCACACTAAGGTCGGTGTCAATGTGGTGATCTCCTGGGAGTGGGGACCACCAGGTTGCCTCCGGAGGGGTAAACTGGCCCAGGTTGGAAACGGAGTGGACAAAACTCCCATGCTGATGGGTAGTGAGGTCATGCCCATGGGCAGCCACCACAGGGGGAAATATAGCAGGAAGAAAGAAAAAGGTGAACTGCAAAACAGAGCTGGGTGACAGGCCCCGGCACCTGGAATTCCAACATGAAAGCTTGCTACCCGCCAGGGATGTGGCAACCGGTGGTATTCCTGCCAGGTTGCCTTCTGAGTCTCCTGGACATGAGGACAAAGAATGGGACAGCAAGGCAAGCCCCACTGGTTTCTCCAAGTGCCCAGCGGTTCAGGGATTGAGCTTGGGGGCATGACAAGAAGTGCCAGGCATGTGACCCCAAGCTGTGTACAGCTTAAACACACGCTGCAACAGCTGTGTTTGAGGTGGCAACAGGGCCCTTGACTTGCCTGTTTTCCCCATAATGCCAGGCCTCTGGGCATCCACGCTTCCTGGAGGAAACACTGCTCCAGGACACCTGGCCATGGGCCGGCCGTTGGGGGACCCGAGTCCTTTCCACCAAGGCCAGCAGGACAGGCTCTCCTTCAGTTGTGGAAAGATGGCTCAGCCACCCAGGAAATAGTGGCTCACCCACCGGAGCTGGGGAACCCTCGGGTATCCTTCCCAGGGGATTCCTCCCCGGGTGCAAGCTGCTTGTCCTGGGGCTGGCTGCGGGTTCTGTGATTCCCTAACACAGCAGTCATCGGGGTCCCACTGAGCCGGGGGCAGAGAAGTAATCCCCCCATGGAACACCTTCTGTGTGCCAAACGCTGGGCTTCCCGTACATGACCTCTCCTCGTGTCACAACAGGCCAGCGAGGAAGTCTTCATCACATCCAAGGGGAGCCAGCAGGGGCAAGGGTTCCGGCTCTGGGTCTTCCATGGCACGGGGTGACTTGGAGACCTTCACAGCATCACCCTTTCCTGTAGAATTTACCCATTACAGATTTCTTTTTTTTAAAAATCCAGATCTCACTCTGTCACCCAGGCTGGAGTGCAGTGGCATGATCATGGCTCACGGTAGCCTTCTCCTCCTGGGCTCAGGCAGTCCTTCCACCTCAGCCTTCCAAATAGCTGCAACTACAGGCACACGCTACCATGCCCAGCTAAATTTTTTCTTTTTTGTAGAAATGAGGTCTCCCTATGTTGCTCAGACTGATCTTGAACCTCTAAGCTCAAGCCATCCTCCCGCCTTGGCCTCCCAAAGGATTATGGGCATGACACGGGCATGAGCACTTGGCCACAGATTTTTTTTTAAGAGATGGGGTCCTAGCTGGGCTCGGTGGCTCAGCCTGTAATCCCGCGCCTTGGGAGGCTAAGGTGAGTGAATTGCCTGAACCCGCGAGTTTGAGACCCACCTGGGCAACTTGGCGAGACCCCATCTCTACAATAAATCACAGAAACTAGCCGGGCGTGGTAGCGCGCACCTGTAGTTCCAGCTACTTGGAAGGCTGAGGCGGAAGGATCGCCGGAGCCCAGCAGGGCAAGGCTGCGGTGACTGGGAGCAGCCATTGCACTCCAGTCTGGGCAACAGAGTGAGACTCCAACTAAAAAAAGAAAGAAAGAAATGGGGTCTTGCTCTGTCACCCTGGCTGGGGTCCAGTGCCATGATCCTAGTTTACTGCAGCCTCAAACAAGCGATCCTTCTGCCTCAGCTTGCCAAAATAGCTGGGACTACAGATTTGTACCACCACGCCTGGCTAATTTATTTTTTTTGTAAAGACAGGTCTCACAATGTTGCTCAAGCTGGTCTTGAACTCCTGGCCTCAAGAGATCCTCCCACCTCGGCCTCCCAAAGTGCTGGGATTATAGGCGTGAGCTACCATGCCTGGCCTATGTCACAGATTTTAACCTGAAGGGAAGGGTCTTCATTGGTGGGCATCAGCCCCAGTGTCTGGTGTCTGGTAGCTGTGGCAAGAGGCCCCAGGTAAGAGCCCAGTGTCCCCCACCCCGTTGGGCTGTTGGGGGTGGAATGGGGAACCCCAGAGGACTGACAAGGTCTTGTTTGTGTTTGTGGGGTTTGAGTTTCTGATATAGACAGTCACGCCAGGTCTTCCCAGCTGGAACCAGAGCGGGCACAGGGCCAGGGCCTACTGCCCTCGGGGCACGTATAAGAGCCAGGGAAGAGAGCCTGGAGCCAGGGCTGGGGCAGAGGTGCCAGCTGCCGCCAGGGACCAGCACTCAGAGACACAGCTGCTGCGTATAGACCACCAGGTGGGCACAGCCAGCTCTGGGCACGACCCTCTCTCGGGGGTCAGGGAGATGCGCTAAACAAGCCATCACTGGCCAGTCTGGAGGAAGGTGCCAGCCCAGGACTTAAAAGGTGAGTGCGTCTGTCCTCTGCTCCCCTCTCCCTCCCCCACTGAGCTCCTCACCTGTGGCTGACCCAGAGGTGTCCAGGTGGAGGCTGACGGCCTTTGTCAGGGATTCGAGCCCTAGAACACTCCAAGAGGCAGTGTAGAGGGATAGTCAGAACTACGGTCATTTGTCCAGTGCCCACCAAACATCAGGTACTGTGGGTTATCTTACCAAATGGAAGCCAGGAGGATGGAGGCCTGGGTCAGTATTCTAGTTCTCCAGGCTTTTTTTTTTTTAACTGGAGTCTCACTCCATCGCCCAGGCTGGAGCGCAGTGGCACACTCACCACTACCCCAGCGTCAACCTGCTAAGCTCCGGGGATCCTTCCACCTCAGCCTTCCAAGCAGCCAGAGCTACAGGCGCACACCTCTAGGCATTGTCTTCATTCACGCTTACAGCTGCTCTAGGAGGTAGATATTAGTGTTTTACAGATGAAGTGACTGAAGCACAGAGATGTTAAGCAACTTGCCCAAGGTCACACAGCAAAGGTACTTTGATGTGAGCCAGCAGTCAGCTTTAAGCACCTAGGAAACTTTGTTGGAAACACTTATCAAGAACAAGTAGCCAGGGGCGGTGGCTCATACCTGTAATCCCAGCACTTTGGAAGGCTGAAGTGAGAGATTGCCTGAACCCAGGGGTTCAAGACCAGCCTGGGCAACTTAGTGAGACCTCATCTCTACAATAAGTCAAAAAGTTAGCCGGACATGGTGGCATGTGCCTATCCAGCTACTTGGAAGGCTGAGACGGAAGGATTGCCTGAGTCCAGCAGGTTGAGGCTGTGGTGGCCATGAGTGTGCTACAGCACTCCAGCCTGGTGACAGACTCCAACTCCAAAAAGAAAAAAAAGGACATGCATACTCTTTGACCTAGTGTTCAGCTTTTGCAATTTATTGTGAAGAATATAATCCAGGTCGGGTGTGGTGTCGTGCACCTGTAATCCCTGCACTTTTGGAGGATCACTTAAAGTCAGGAGTTCAAGGTTACATTGAGCTATGAATGCACCACTAAACTCCAGCCTGGGCAGCACAGGAAGACCCTGTTTCAGATATAAAATGATATAATCAGATATAAGAACAAAGTTCAGTTTTGCTTTGTAATAACAGAAAAGTAAAAGCAGGCCAGGCACGGTGGCGCAACCTGTACTTCCAGCACTTTGGGAGGCCGAGGGGAGAGGATTGCTTGACCGCACTGGTTCGAGACCAGCCCGGGCAGCTTGGTAAGCCCTCATCTCTACAATAAATAAAAAAATTAGCTGGGTGTGGTGACGCACGTCTGTAGTTCCAGCTACTTGGAAGGCTGAGGCGGAAGGATCGCCTGAGCCCAGCAGGTTGAGGCTGTGGTGGCTGGATGCGTGTCACTGTCCTCCAGTCTAGGGGACACTGTGAGACTCCTACTTAAAAAAAAAAAAAGAAAATTAAAAGTAAACATAATGTCCAACAGGTCAGGCACAGTGGCTTACGCCTATAATCTCAGCATATTGGGAGGCTGAGGTGAGAGGATTGCCTGAGCCCAGGGGTTCAAGACCAGGCCAGGCAACTTGGTGAGAGCTCATTTCTTTTCTTTTCTTTTTTTTTTGAGTTGGAGTCTCACTCTGTTGCCCAGACTGGAGTGCAGTGGTCACTCCCAGCCACCGCAGCCTCGACCTGCTGGACTCCGGCGATCCTTCCACCTCAGCCTTCCAAGTAGCTGGAACTACAGGCGTGCGCTCCCACGCCTGGCTAGTTTTCTTATTTATTGTAGAGATGAGGTCTCACCAAGTTGCCCAGGCAGGTCTCGAACCTGTGGGTTCAGGCAATGCACTCATCTTGGCCTCCCAAAGCATGGGATTACAGGCTGAGCCACTGAACCTGGCCTCTTTTTTTTTATTATTCTTTTTTTATTAGAGCTCATTTCTACAATAAATCAAAAAATTAGCCAAGTGTGGTGGAGCACACCTGTGGTTCCAGCTACTTGAAAGGCTGAGGCAGAAGGATCACCTGAACCTGAACCCAGGAGTTGGAGCCTGCAGTGGCTGTGAGGGTGCCACTGCACTCCAGCTTGGGCGACAAAGTGAGACTCTGACTCAAAAAAAAAGTCCAATAGTAGGGGGGATAAATTATGAAGTCCTATGATGAAATAATACATATGTATTCACAGTTGTGTCCTCGAAGGGTGCTGAGTGTCACTGGAAAGGTCTCATTGGCTGTTAAAGTAGGGAAAGCACGCTATAAAACTGCATCATGCCAAATGTATGTGTGGCATGAGTGTATGGCATGACTCACTTGCAGAGGTGTGATGCGCACCCCTATGAACCCTGTGGAAAAGTCAGAAAGTGGCCGGGCTCGGTGGCTCAGCCTGTCATCCCGCGCCTTTGGGAGGCTGAGGTGAG